AGAAAGCTGAAACTGGATCCTTTCCTTACTCCTTATACGAAAATTAATTCAAGATGGATTAGAGACTTAAATGTTAGACTTAATACCATAAAAACCCTAGAAGAAAACCTAGGTAATACCATTCAAGATTTTTTTTAAAGAAAGAATATTATTATAATTAGTATGTGCAACAGTTTCGTGGGTTTGGTTTTTTCGTTTATTTCTTGTCTTTGGTTATTTTTTCTTTCAGTAATTTTAGTCTATAGAGTACTTGAAAACAATTTCAAAAATAGGTGAATTTCTATATTAAGCCCAGTGACAAAAGAAAATGTATTCAATTCATGAATTCTGTTCTTGTTTATACTTAGATTTAAGTCAATTATTTGAATTTTTACTTTAGTTAATATTCTTAAAACTGAGGTCACGGCTGGGCACAGTGGCTCACGCCTATAATCCCAGCAACTTTGGGAGGCTGAGGTGGACAGATCACCTGAGGTTGACAGTTCGAGACCAGCCTGACCAACATGGAGAAACCCCGTCTCTACTAAAAAATACAAAATTCGTCAGGCATGGTGGCACATGCCTGTAATCCCAGCTACTCGGGAGTCTGAGACAGGAGAATCACTGAAACCTGGGAGGTGGAGATTGTGGTGCGCTGAAACCATGACATTGCACTCTAGCCTGGGCAACAAGAGCAAAACTCCATCTCCAAAAAAAAAAAAAGAAAAGCAAACTGAGATCACACAGTCATACTACCAGATATTTTTTAAACTAGAAAAGAATAAGAGGTTATAGTTTTTCATAAGAAAACTGAAGCCCAGAAAAGTTGCCCAAACTCACAAGATCACAATGAACTTTCACAGTTCATTACTCTTTAGTCAAATTACTGCTTTATTGTAGACAGTTACTTAAAGTCGACGAAGTACATTTTTCATTTAAATATAACTTAGAGTCTATTGCAAATTTTTTGAAGAATAGTATTTAAGTGCCTATTGTTAACCACTTTCATTTTAGTTTTTATAAGAATGGGCTAGACACGGTGGCTCGTGCCTGGAATCCCAGCATGGTGGGAGGATGGATTGAGGTCAAGAGTTTGAGACCAGCCTGAGCAGCATAGCAAGCAATATTAATTCTGTCTGTACAAAAAAGAAAAAAAAAAAAAAGGTAGCCAGATGTGGTGGCACATGCCTGTAGTCCTATTTGGGAGGCTGAGGCAGATGGATTGCCTGAAGTTCAGAATTCAAGGCTGTAGTGAGCTATGTTCACACCACTGTACTTACTCCGGCTTGAGTGACAGAGCAAGACCCTGTCTTAAAAAAAAAAAAAAAAAAGTATGGAACCCTACTTTTTCCAATAGTTTTAAATTTTAAGTTTTTAATAATTTATCAATTTAATGAAGTATAAAGATATCTGTCATAATTTCAGGAATTTGTCTTCATTTCAGATTGATACCTCATTAATTATCAAACCTGTAAATTTCTCTTTTCCATATTCACCACCCTGCGTTTGTTTTAAAAGTTAGTATTTGATTAAATAATTTTTCTCTCCGTAAAAAATTTCAGTTCAAATTATACATGTTGATATTTTGCTTTGAATGTATAAAGCAAAAATTATAAAATTTAAGTGTATTTTAAAGTATGTCCTACTAATTAATGGGAAATAGCACTCATATGGATATGGAATCACAAGTAAAGTTTAAAATATCTTTTTTTCGTGTTATAAAATTGTTTTCTGAATTTTTATCTTTTCTGTTCTCAAATTGCAGTGTGGACTCCAATTGCATTGACAGTGTTTTTAGTGGCTGTTGCAACATTATGTAAAGAACAAGGAATAACAGTTGTAGGAATTTGCTGTGTGTATGAAGTGTTTATTGCCCAGGGGGTAAGCCAAATTATAAATATATAAATTTACTTATTGATATGTTTTATCCTAATTGAATCAGATTTTATTTTCTTTTATTTTCTAAATGTATCATTATGTAAATTAATGTGTTTACCAATAATAATACTAGAAATCATGTTTTATCCTCATATCTACTGAAAATTACTTAACATTTTATGATACTTTAAGTGTTTTAAGAACTGTGTTTTAAATTTCAATAATGGAATCATTAGGCAGCTTGGAAAAGTATGCAATAATACTGTACAGTATAATTCATTATTGCGTAAGACTGTTGAGCTCAGTTTTATTCATTATTAGCTTCACACATTCTTCCACATTAATTTCATAATTATACTTATATCTAATCTTGCAATTAGAAAGTACTACAGTATTGAAAACATTGAGATATGTTGTTATTTGTTGCTTAAAACGTTTATTTTCTTTTTCAGTATACTTTGCCATTATTATGTACTACTACTGGACAGTTTCTCCGTGGAAAGGGTAGCATTCCATTTTCTATGCTACAGACATTAGTAAAACTCATTGTCTTGATGTTCAGTACGTTATTACTTGTTGTAATTAGAGTCCAGGTTATTCAATCCCAACTTCCAGTATTCACCAGGTATGAAATTCTGGTTCTTTGTTTTCTGCATTCTTTTTTTTAACTTTGGATTTTAATGTTCATAAATGTTCCAGAAAGTATTTTATTTACTTTGTTTTTTAACAGTTTTATTAAGCTATAATTAACATATTTTTTAAACTGCATATGTTTAAAATTTACAGATTGGTAAATTTTGACATATGTATACACCCTTAAAGCCCCCACAATAAAGATAATGAATGACCCATCCCAAACTGGTTAAGTATTAAGGTTAGTGTTAATTTAGTCTCCTCTATCCTTAGTGATTTTTGTCAACTCATTCTGTCAGTTACTGAGAGAGAGATGTTGAAATCTCTGACTATACTTGTATATTTCGCTGTTTCTCCTTGCACTTCTATCCGTTTTTGTTTTACATGTTTTTGAAGCTCTGCTATTAGGTGCATAAAGAACTAGGATTGTTAAGTCATCTTGAGGAACTGATCCCTTTGTCATTATTAAATGAGCTTCATCCCTAGTAATAGTCTTTACTCAGAAATTCACTTTTTCTTATCCCAGCTATCTTTTGTTAGTGTTATGTGGTGTATCTTTTTCCATCTTTTTACTTTTTACCTGTCTATGATTTATGTATAAAGATTTCTTGTAGCGTGCATACAATTTGGTCTTTTGTTGTTTGGTCAGATAATCTGACTTTTAGATGGTATATATCATGATTTATATTTAATATGATTATTGATATAGTTTGATGGAAATCTGTCATCTTGCTAAAATTGTTTTATCTTTGTCCCATCTATTCTTTGTTCCCTTTTTTTTCTCTTTCCGCCTTCCTTTGGATCCTTTTTTAATATTTCATTTTATCTCCTTGTTGGCTTATTAGCTATAAATCTTGGTTGTTTTAGTGTTGCTTTAGGGATTTTAGAACATCCTCTGCTTATCACAATTTACCTTCAAGAATATTCTAATTTTGAATATATGTATAAAATGAAAAATATCAGTATATATAGTATTAATATCATATATAATATACATTTTATATATGTAAGAACTTAGCTTTTGTGCAGTTTGCATATGTTTTCCTTGAACATACATTGCTTTAAACAATTGTCTTAGAGGAATTTAAATAATAAAAATATTTTACATTAACCATGGAGTCACCATTTCCAGTGTTCTTTATTCCTTTGTTAGGTAAGATTTTTATATGGTACTGTTTTTCCTTTTGCCTGAAGGAATTTTTTTAGCACTTCTTGATTAAAAGTATCTGGTTTTCAAAGATAATTTCTCTGGGTGGAGAATTCTACACTGACTTTTTCATTCAGTATTCTGAAAATGTAAATCTACTGTCTTCTGGCTTATGTTGTTTTCAGTGGGAAAACCTCTATCATCCTTACCACTTTATGCTAATGTATGTTATGTGTATTTTTTCTATGCCTTTTTTTAATATTTCCTCTTTATCATTGTTTCTTATGTATTTATGTTTCTTGTGCTTAGTCAAACTGAGCTTCTTGAAATCTGTAGGTTTTAATGTTGTATAAATTTTGGAAAATGTTTAGTCTTCAAATATTTTTGCCATCTTTTCTTTTTCATCTTTTTCTTGTATGTCACTTAAGTATATTTAAGTTTCTTGAAGTTGTTGCACTGATTTTTCCCTCAATCTTTACCATTTTAGTTTGGATAGTTTCTTTTGCTATATCAAGTTAACTAGTCTTTTCTCTGAATATCTAATCTACCCTTCATTTCATCTAATTATTTCTTACCTGTGAATCTGTCTTCATCTTCAGAAGGAAGTCTGATTTGAGTCTTCTTTTGTATCTTCTATATCTCTACATGTTCTATTGCTTTAATGTCCTTGCCTACTAATGTCATTCTTTGGTCAGTTTTTATCGAATAAATTTTCTCTTCATTGTAGGTTGTATTTCTCTGCTTCTTTGCATTCCCGGTGATTGTTGAACAGATACCATTTGTGAATTTTATCTTAATGTATTCTATAACTTTTGAGTTTTATTCTGGAATGCATTTCAGTTACTTGGAAAATGTTTTATCTTTCACTCTTACTTTTTTTCTTCTATTTTTTTGAGATGGAGTTTCGCTCTTGTTGCCCAGGGCTGGAGTGCAATGGCGCGATCTCAGCTCACCGCAACCTCCACCTCCCAGGTTCAAGCGATTCTCCTGCCTCAGCCTACTGAGTAGCTGAGATTACAGGCATGCGCCACCACGCCCGGCTTTTTGTATTTTTAGTAGAGACAGGGTTTCTCCATATTGGTCAGGCTGGTCTGGAACTCCCGACTTCAGGTGATCCGCCCACCTTGACCTCCCAAAGTGCTGGGATTATAGGCATGAGCCACCACACCCAGCCCAGTCTTGCTTTTAAGCTTTGTTTTGTGGAACCACAACAGCATTTAGGATAAGACTAATTTCACTTCACTACTGATGCAAGATCTTTTTGACTATTCGATGTGAACTGTAAATTATGATTTATTATTTTTATCTGAAAAAAAAGTATGAGTTGTGAGATTCCATATGAAAATTTTGAAATGATATTATTTGTTCAAATAGTACTTATTTTTATCAGATATTTGGTATGTTTTTAGGAAATCAAGTCAAATAAGTGATAGTACTTGATTTTTCATTGGCTTACTCATTTTAAAGTGAGAAAATGGGTCTTTTAAGTACTATATATTATAGCCAACAAAATTTAGAACACAGGCTAAACTAATGAAATGTATATATGTCATGGCCTGGGAATAGATAAACTATGGTATAAGTTTTTGTTAGTATTTACTAAGAGAAAAAGTAGAACACAAATTGTTACATAGCCCTACACAGTTACTACTTTGTACTAGAAGTTTGGTTTTTAGCTTCCTAGGAGTCAAAGAGGGAAGAAAGCTTCTAGGTGATAATGGTTTTCTCTCTCCGTGATAGGAGAAAAATATACTAATTTTTTCCAGGAAGCATAATTTTTAATTAACATTTAGCTCTAAAAGAAATATCTCATGTAGGAAAGCATTGGTGTTTTCAAAAGTGATTCATACAACACATACAACAATAAATCTTATACAACTTTTTGTTACTACTTTTAATCAAAAGGTTTAATGGAACACTTTTGCAGTATTGTAATATTATAGGATGCATGTCTGAACTATTCTAATAATAAACAGAAATGGATGACCTGCTTGCCTTTCAAATAGTCCTTCATAAATATCACTTCTCTGAAGTAGATGTTTCATAAAGTTTTGATAGTTTGAACTCTAGCAAGAGTCTGAGTTACACATAACATTTATCTGTGTCTTCTGTTTAATAAGATGATATATAAAATGTTTATTGTTTAGTGTTTTATTTATGTAAATAATTCTGTATTTTAAAAGTTTTATTGGTAATCATTTTTTAAATCCTTTATACAGGTTTGATAACCCAGCTGCTGTAAGCCCAACTCCTACAAGGCAACTGACTTTTAACTACCTCCTTCCTGTGAATGCTTGGCTTTTATTAAATCCTTCGGAGCTCTGCTGTGATTGGACCATGGGAACAATACCACTTATAGAGTCGTTACTAGATATTCGAAATCTGGCCACATTTACTTTCTTTTGTTTTCTGGGGACTTTGGGAGTATTCAGTCTCAGATACTCTGGTGATTCCTCCAAGACTGTTTTAATGGTAAGAAACTTTTCTTAACTTTCCAAGTGATGTTACATTCAGTTGAATAAGTAAGAAACTACCTTTAATTCAGCAAAACCATCTTTTTAGAAGCATTCCTTCTTTTGTTCAACAGCATCCCAATTTATAAAGATATTTCAGTTATCCCAAAATTCGCAGTTAATTTGCAGGCATAATTTGACATATGTTCAGCACATAAAATATTTCTTACCTTTATCCAACTAAATTATATACTTTTTGAAGAAATTGATTATACTGTATTTTATTTGTTTTCTTGGCACAGAGAACGTCATATAAGATACACAACTAGCAATACAGAGCTTTTCAGTTCTCATGAGCAAGGTGGTTTTTATTACTCCCTTAGATAGCTTTTACTATGTTCAGAGAACTCTGATTATTTGAAAAGTTCGTGTGTGTGTGTCTGTGTGTGTGTGTGTGTATGTGTGTGGTTATTTCTCTGTACTGTTTTTTGTTTTTTGTTTTTTTAATTTTCTTACCCTGCCTCATTTCATACTCGTAAGGGTTCTGTTTTCTCTTGCTTTTAATTATTAAAGACAGGCCCGGTGCGTTGGCTCATGCCTGTGATCCCAGCATTTTTAGAGGCCAAGGCAAGTCGATCATTTGAGGCCAGGAGTTCAAGACCAGCCTGGTCAACCTGGTGTAACTCTCGTCTCTACTAAAAATACAAAAATTAGCTGGACGTGGTGGTGGATGCCTGTAATCCCAGCCACTTAGGAGGCTGAGATTCACTTGAACAGGAATCACTTGACAAGAATCACTTGAACCAGGGAGGTAGAATTTGCAGTGAGCCGAGATTGCTCCACTGCACTCTAGTCTGTGTGACAGAGCAATACTCTGTCTCAAAAAAGTAAAAATAAAAATGTATTGAAGACAATAGGATATATTCTCAGGCATTTATTATATGTCAGAAAGTATGTTTAATGAATTGCAGATACATAATTTTTTGCTGTAGCTGCTAGATTTATTCATTTAATTAAAAACAGACTTTACCCTTCGTACAGTGCAGCATTTTAGGCACTGAGGTTTTGATAGTAAATACACAGTTCACGTTTCCAGAGAACTTACATTCTAGAGAAATTTGAATGTCTGAGATACAGAGTAGATTGAAAGATTGTGTTTTCTATTATCCTTGAACATGTTTGCCTTACTGTTGAAACATCCTGTTGGACATTTTGAACAGCACTTTTTGTCTGGAGTTCATAAAAGATACTTAAGCTACACATAGAAATTTTATTCATTAACATAGAGATGGTAATTGAAACCAGGATGTAGATAAGGTGGACTGTAGATGAGGTTATAGAGCAGCATTTCTCAACTGGGGTTTTGTCAGTTCTGTCAAAGATGGTAGCTGTTAACATTCTAGATGCACAGAAGTTCACTCATACTCATAATGGAAGCCTTAGAGTGTTTGGTGTTAATTCTCCCCAGGAAACAGTTGAGTGGGCTAAATACAGTGAAAAGAGAAGACATCTACAACTAGGTCTTGAGAAACTCCTATATTTAGATGTTGAAGAGAAGGATCCTAAATAGGAGACATATCAAATGAAGAGAAAGGTAGGAAAGTGTATTAAGAAAGACCAAACGGTTAACATTAACAGATGCTCTTGAAGGGGAAAGTGAGATCTAGAATCTGTTGGATTGGACCTCTTTTAGTCTGTAGTTACTTAAAGGAAATTTGTTTCTGTGCGGTGAGTGATTTGATAAGAAAGTGAAGAGAGCTAGTATAGATAACCTGTAGGAATAAGTTAACTTTGTTTCAAAGGATGGGATAAACTTGATTTATTTCCTACCTAAGTAAGGGAAGACTATGCTGGTCAGGCAGTGGTTTCAAGTCAGACTGCTAATCTTATGTAGGGCTTGGGGGAAGCATTGAGATCTGGCATTGGTAGACCTTCAGAGGTAGGAGGGAGTGATGTCAGGGAGAGACTGTTGATTGATTGGCATATAGAAGCATTTTTGTTGGAATACTCAGCTACTCGGCTGACTTTTAGAAGAATGTGGATATCCCTGATGGGTTGGCTTGCAGGAACATATTTATTAAGTTGAAATGTTGATTGGTTAAGTGGTGGACTTAAGTTGATTAGTTAAGCAGGCTACTTGATACTATGGCAACAAAATCTTTCCTAAGATCATGGGAACTTGTTTTGTACCTGAGGTATGTAACGAATAGGGAAGGTAGCTTAAAAGATGTATTGTTAAAGATGTTTAAGGCTGGAGAGACAAGAGCATGTTTAAATATATAGATAGGAAGAATACAGTTGATTAGAAAGTGATTAATAAATTAGAGAAGGAATAATTGTTAGTGAAGTTTATGAGGAGCAGGAGATATGGAGCACAGGTTTGGCCTGAGATAGAAGAGACACCCCTTATGTTACAAGAAGAAAGAAAATGAATGTGGATGTTGGTAGGTTTAGCAGCAGGAAATTGAAGAAATTCTTGTTTTATGGCTTTAGCTTTCCCTGTAAATTAGGAAATGTAGTTGCCTGGTAAAAGTGACATGAGTCAACAGTTTGAGAAAACTAATGAAGATTCAAAGCAGTCAAGAAGAGTGGAACTTTTGGCCGGGCGCGGTGTCTCAAGCCTGTAATCCCAGCACTTTGGGAGGCCGAGACGGGCGGATCACGAGGTGACGAGATTGAGACCATCCTGGCTAACACGGTGAAACCCCGTCTCTACTAAAATATACAAAAAACTAGCTGGGCGAGGTGGCGGGCGCCTGTAGTCCCAGCTACTCGGGAGGCTGAGGCAGGAGAATGGCGTAAACCCGGGAGGCGGAGCTTGCAGTGAGCTGAGATCCGGCCACTGCACTCCAGCCTGGGTGACAGAGCGAGACTCCGTCTCAAAAAAAAAAAAAAGCGTGGAACTTTCCAGAGAAACCTAGAAATCCTAAACAGTCTTAAGGATAAATTTGAACTTGGTGCTCATGCTTTTATGATAGTATTAATCTGTTCAGCTTAGGGACTTTCTCTAGCAGCGCATTGCCACTCTGATAAATACAGACAAAAGAAATAAATGGTAGAATACATCCAAAGCTGGAGTTTTGCTAAAAGAAAGTTTAAAAAAAGGAGAGGTAGGGGAATTAAGGTTTCTGCAAATAAAATAATGGTGCATGTAATGTAAACTGAATTTAAAATGCATATAAAAATGGAACAGCTGTGGCCTTAAGCATAACTTTACTTTCGGTATAGTCCTAATAAATGTGCTATTTTTTATGGTGATATTTTCTGAAGATCTCTGGAAGGAATAAGTAGAACAAAGTAGTACCTACCAAAGACCAGATACCATCTTATGCACTTATTAGATAAGATGTCATATATTTGTCAACAGCAAAATGTAAGTCGTTATTAATCCCCATTTTATTTGTAAAGAACTAACTGGGTTCAGTGGCTCATGCCTGTAATCCCAGTGCCTTGGGAGACAGAAATGGGAAGATCAATGGAGGCCAGGAGTTTGAGACAAGCCTGGGCAAGATAGTGAGATCCCATTTCTAAAAAATTTTTTTTAATTATCTAGGCATGGTAGTGCATACCTGTAGTCCTAGGTACTTGGGAAGCTGAGGCAGGAGGATTGCTTGAGCCCAAGAGTTCAGGGGTGCAGTAGACTATGATCATGCCACTATACTGTATCCTGGATGACAGACAAGACCCTGTCAAAAAAAAAAAAAAAAAAAGGAAGAAGAAGAAAAGAAAGACTCTTGAGGCAACTGAGTGGTTTGCCTTATGTAGGAAATGAGAAGTAAAGCAGATTTGTCTTGAACTCTTTGCTCTTTCTACTAATATCCTAACATTTAAGGACAGTTTATATTACTGGAAGAAGGAAATTAAAAGATAGTGGTAGTTAACTAGGTTGACATACATTATTAGAGAGCATATTAGGACTTGTGAATAAGTTAATCATTAGAGGACCTATAGATTTTTCCTGAGAGATTTTTTTTTTTTTTTTTTTTTTGTATAGCTTATGCATCAGTCTACAATACACTTTTGGGTGAATTTAACACTTAATTCCTTCAAATGAAATTGCCTTAGGGCGGCCATGAATTAATAAGTATAATTTTTTTTTCAATGAACTACATACATATTCAGGAACTTTATCTGTTTCACATTTTTTGTCAAGCATTTCTGGGAAATGGAAAGTGAATTCTATGCACTCTTAGTTGTTCTTACCTTTTTGATTTAAAAAAACTGAAGTGTCAGACCTATAAATTGGTATGATGGTGACCAGTTTGATGGTAGTGATTTTCCTCAGATTCAGTGTTGCCTTATTACAAATCATTAATGTGTGAACTTTTGTGGAGAGAGTATTCTTTTCAATGTATATACCTCTGTATTTCACAAATTAAGTCAAATAGAAAAAGACATTCTTTCACCTTAGCCCATTAGAAGAGTCTCAAACTTGTGAAGCTAAAGTTTTAACTTGTTTATTCAATTAGGTACTATAAAACAAATCACGGTAACAAAATATGGAAGCAGATGTCCATAGAAACAGATTTCCTAATAGTGACCAAACTTATTTCCTTCACAAGCTATTTATGTGCTAGTGTTTTGTGGGTGTATAATGTGGAAACCACATGTCATCCCATTTTCAGAATGGTAAGAAATCTAAACATTTTTATGATGTTTCATTTCATTGTTCAGTGTTATATTAGTAATTTTAGAAATTCTTATAGAATGAAAGACTGTTCATTTAAAGGGGGTCAGTTTTATTTTTATGCATACACCAAGCTTCTAGTTAAATACATTTAACCTTTCAGGATGTTATGTGAAGTAATGCTAAGGTACAGTAGTCTGCTGTCTTGTCTGAACAACACCTGATTTTGTTCCCTCAGTTTCCAATATCCTGCGGTTCCTTAAAGTAGTAAAGTTGTAAAAATTGACGTGTTTAAATTTTTTTTAATCAGCCTTTGTAGTTTTGATTTGTTGAAAAACCTATTAGCATATTTCATTATCATCTTATTTTTACCACACGCACATAGCTAGATGTGTAAAATTTTTATTTGTTTAATTTATATTCCTCCTAACTGAAGTTTTATGCTTTTTACCAACCTTTCCCCATCCTTCTCCCTCTAACCCTGGTGACCACCATTTACTCTACTTCTGTGAGTTCAACTTTTACAAATTCTACATACAAGTGAGATCATGTGTTATTTGTATTTCTGTGGCTGGCTTATTTCTATTAACATGGTGTCCTCCGGTTTTATCCATGTCAAAATGACAGGATTTCCTCTATTTTAAGGCTAAATAGTATTCCAAAGTGTATATGTACCACATTTTTTTCATCCAGTAATCTGTTGATGGATACTTAGGTTGTTCCCATATCTTGGCTATTGTAAATTGAATAATGCTGCAATGAACAGGGGAGGTCAGATCTCTCTTCGACTTACTGATTTCATTTCCTTTGGATCTATACCCAGTAGTGAGGATGCTGGATCACGTGGTAGTTCTATTTTTAATTTTTTGAGGAGTCTCCATACTGTTTGCTTAATGGCAATGCTAATTTACATCCTACCAACACTGTGCAAGTGTTTCCTTTACGTTCTTGCCAACATTTGTTATCTTTTGCCTTTTTGATAATAGCCATTCTTACAGGTGTGAGATGATATCTCATTGTGGTTTTAATTTTCACTTCCCTAATGATAGTGATGTTGAACATTTATATACTTGTTGGCCATGGGCATGTTGTCTTCTGAGGAATATCTGTTTATCTCCTGTGCCCATTTTTTAAATTGGGTTGTTTTCTTATGATTGAGTTGTTTGAGTGTGTTATTTTAGATACAATTTCAAAAAGTACTTCCACTTTTTATTTAACTAGATGAACCTTTATTGTTTAATTTTTCTTAAAGATGTGAATATTTACATTAATTAAAGTTTTTATATTTTACTACGCAAGCGTATTCTTTACAGAAAACCAGTGAGATATAGCTAATTATGCTTCTCAAATTTAAAATGCTGTAATGGTTTAGATTTTAATTTCAAGGAGTAATCACTTCCAAGCACACCTAGAAATCTTGTTTTCGAAGAAAGTTCATAGATATCTTGTAATTATAACTTCTAGAATTCAGGATTTCCATTTCACCTTGCTTACATACATCCTGATGTTTGTTAATGCCTAAGTTGCCTTCTTTATGTTTAAATTAATATTCTTCACAGTATTATTAAAAATAGTTTACCAGTACACTATTCAAATTAAATGATAAAGTATTTGAATTCGAGTATCAGATGCCCATATATTTCTTAATTTATTATAAATTTATTATAAATTATTAAATCTTTTTTTTTTTTTTTGTAGGCGCTTTGTTTAATGGCATTACCATTTATTCCTGCATCGAACCTTTTTTTTCCAGTTGGATTTGTTGTTGCCGAGCGAGTATTATATGTTCCCAGCATGGGATTCTGTATTTTGGTAGCCCATGGATGGCAGAAAATATCAACAAAAAGGTGAATTTAAATGTCAGTTCATGTAATGCTTACTATGGAATTAAGTATGACACATTTTAAAATTTAAGTATTTAGTTCAGTTTTCTAAGTCATGCTTTTGTATCTTTTGGTTTTTCATCTCCATAATCTCCACATTTGTCTTGTAAGACAAGTTAGGAAAGCTCCACAGAATAAGCACCTACTTATTCTGTGTTCTTCCCCATATTTATGCAATTTGATTTTACAGCCTGAGACAGAACAAACTTTGAGTCAGACCCAAATGAAAACAAGGATGTTACTGAGAATAAAGTCACAAATGACCATTGCCACTTCCATATTCAGTGAACTAAGATAATAGTCATCCTACTTAAGTGAGTCGTATTGAGTTAATATATATAAAATTCATATGGTAAGCAATCTGTAATTTCTTGCTATCATCACTATCTTCATTATAATCTTTGTATCCTAGTTGCCTCAGACTAACACTTAAGGAAAGCATAGTCACACTATATATGCTTAGGAACTATCATTGTTATAGTTATTATCTCGTTGTATACTTAAGCTGTGGCACTAAAATTACCAAATCAAGCAAATAGTTAAAGGTCAAGTAATACTGATGTAATAATATTAACTTTGAATTTGCAACTTGAAAAAAAAATAGTCACTTCTCTCACTTTCCCATTTTCTAGTCACCCCTAACCCCACAGAATTCTGACTTCTCTCCACTTCACCCTTAATATACAACAAAGTACCTCCTAGTAGCTAAACTAAATCAACTCTTTTAATTTAAAATTCATTTCCCTAGTGTCTGTAAAAAGTGTTTCTCTTGATTAATTCTTCTGGCTGTACGTGCTCTTTGAATATTTACATTTTTCAAAGTCTTATAGCCACTTTTTTCACACTGCATGTGTTCCACAGATAATCTCATCCATGTCCGCAATTTTTTATTGCCATCTACCAAACCTTTTCTCTTAGCTTCTACCCATATATCCATTTATAATCACTACCCATTTTTAAATGCCTGCCATGTACTAAGGACCATGATAAACACTTTAGATTTGTTTTCTCATTTAATCTTGAACTTCTTAAGTCTATTTTGCAGATGTGAACATTGAAGCCATATTACCCAAGATCACACAGCTAGTAAATAACAGTCTTGTTTCAGATTTACATCTGACTGCTTCTAATGACCATGTTCTTTCTCATCCATACTCATGTGTCCTAGTTAAGTGGATCTATCAAAATGAAAGAAATTAAACCATGTTATAGGAACAAAAACACAGACTCAGAGACTATTAACACTAAACAAGATCATAAAGATTATAGGTGAGGAATTGAGCCTTCAAATAATTAACCTAAAGTTGTATAAGTAATTTGCCTCTGTTTAATGAAGAGTCACTTTTACTATGCCTTTTAATAGACAATTCTAGCTTTACAGTAGAGAAATAAAGAATATCATGATAACCTTGGTATAAATTGTAAGCAAAACATTTTCAAATGTGACCAGTGGTAAGGTTGACCAAACCTTTCTAAACTCAATTAAGAATACTCAGTTGTAGAAAATGGCAAAAAGGACTGTAAATATAAAAAGTCATATTTAAAAATTGATTTTATCCATTTATAATCATTTAATTTAAACAAAACTTTTGAAATATAGCCAATATTAGCATATATAATGCAGTTGACTGGAAAGTCATATTCACAATATTTAATTTTTTTGGTGTTGTGTCCTCTAAAGTTGGGTGATCATTAGAATGAATTAGAATAAATTCACATCTGATATTTTAGGAGCATTTAAGATACTTCTTACCTCTGTTCTAAAAGGTAAAATGCTTTTGGTGATGAAGACAATTTTTTTTTGTTTTGCTTTTTTTCTCTTAAACAGTGTGTTTAAAAAGCTATCCTGGATTTGTCTGTCTATGGTGATACTCACTCATTCCTTGAAAACATTCCACAGAAATTGGGATTGGGAATCGGAATATACTTTGTTTATGTCAGCCTTGAAGGTAAAGTGTTGTTCAGAATGACGGGAAAGTATGTCATCAGTGATTTCTTGGAACAATTTCTAAGCTGTTTTAACTTTGTTTTTAATTAGACATTTAACAGTCAAGATTAAGTACTTCACTAAAAGATTAATAAAAATAATTTGTTGTTTAATATATGCCATAACCAAATGCTCTGAATAATACTTAGCTATATGCCCAAAGCATATATGATAATTCCCTAAATGCTATACAGTTATTGGAAGCTCAAATGACACGATGTTTAAATCAGAATAGTATATTTCATTGGTTCTAAAGGTGCTCGTTTTTTTCCTTTTTTATATCTCTGAAATCAAGTAAGTCTTAGAGTGAAAAGCATCTTAAGTTAGTGGCCTTTTTTCTTTCTTAATGGTACTTAAAATAATAGTGAGTTTTATAACTGATGGCATCAATTCAGTAAAAAAAAAAAAAAATGTACCCAACGATGTGTAAAATAACCAGTGGTTACAATACCATCAGAAAGATAAGCATTGGCAGAAAGGAAGGACATAAGATTGTCCTGTAGAATGTACCTTATAAATTGGAAAAAGGTCTTTTAAAAAACAAAAATTTGTTTTTTTTAAAGGTTATCAGCAAAGATGTTTTCAAGCTCTCCCTTACCAGTACCCCTCTTCAGATACCTGAATTTTTACTTCCTTTGGACTATTTCTTAACTCTTTGTTGTTTAGCTTTATTGGATTGCCGCCTCATTCCAGTAGTCTGTGTGACTTCTTGATTCCACATCTACTTAAGATCAGATGACTCTCTTCTTATATAACTCAGTAACTCTACTCTCTCTCCCAGCTCAGAAGTCTGCCAACAAGTGAGACCTCATTACCATGCTTATTAAACCATACTCCTAGGAGACCAGTGGAGCCCCATAATTTTCCAGAATTTTGCTTATACTCACTCCCAGAACAGTGGTTGGAACCTATAGCCACAACCGCTGCAATTAGTTCCTTGGCTAAGTGTCATCTGTCTGCAAGAACACCACGGCAATCTGTGAACTTTGAAAACACAGATTGACTCAGAGGTTTAATCTCAGGGTTTCCGTTACCATAATGGACTACATAAATAACTTTAAATATGTCAAGTCTAAAAATAAGTCATCAGTGCAACATTTAAACACATTCTCATGTTCCAGTGCTTTTGCTCCTAAAAATACAAATGGTAGAGCAGAAGTTTTGAAACACCACTGTGCTTTCATCAAATAACATTTTCAGTAAAATATTAATATATAACATGAATGAAATAAGACTGTTATGGTTTTAGTATGTTGGTGTTCAGGTGAAGGGAGAGTAAATTTGGTGAAGCAATCTTTATTTGACTCCTGTGTCATCCCCAGAGACATTTCCATAGAACATTATTTTCTTAATAGTATACCAAAGAAATATTTGTATGAACTGGAGTCTATCTGTGCTTGTATTTAAGGTAAATAAAAATAATGCCAAACTATGGAATAATGTGGGTCATGCTCTGGAAAATGAAAAGAACTTTGAGAGAGCTTTGAAATACTTCCTACAGGCTACCCATGTTCAGCCAGGTAAGCATTATTAACTAATAAATTCATGAATTTTATTTTTAAAAAAGTTTTGATTATCCATGGAGGAAATAAGATAGAGTTTATTTACTTTTATTCTAAGTGACTTGAATACTAGAGTTCAGTGCTTGCTTATTTTGAATTGGATTACATATAATAGCCACTTAATACCAGACTGATACCTGTATTCAGTATCAGTATTCCCTGATAGTTCACACCTGTATTCCCAGCACTTTTGGAGACTGACACAGGAGGGTCAGTTGAACCCAGGAGTTCATGACCAGCCTGGGCAACAAAGCAAGATCCTGTCTCTACAAAATAAAAATGAAAAAATTAGCCAGGCATGGTAGTGTGGGCATGTAATCTCGGCTACTTGGGAGGCTCAGGTAGGAGGATTCCTTGAGCCCAGGAGTTCAAGGCTGCAGTGAGCTATGATCACATGATTATACCACTGCACTCCAGCCTGGGTGACAGAGTGAGACTCTGTCTCAAAACAAACAAAAACATTTATGGATTTTTTCTTAACATAGAGTTTTTGGGTGGCATGGATATGGATAAGCAATTTTGGTGGAATGATGGGTACAAAAGCCTGATGGTAGTGAGCTTAAGAGAGTGGTTAAAGAATAATTGGATAAGTTCATATAGAAAACTCTTTTGAAGGGTGTTGATAAGAAATAGTGGTAGTGCTGGGTTTGGGGTCAAGAAAGGATGGTAAGATAAGAGGGTTTTGGCTTTGTTTTTTAAGCCAGTTTGGGCCAGAAACAGTGGCTCAAGTCTGTAATCCCAGCACTTTGGGAGGCCAAGGTGGGCAGATCACTTGAGGTCAGGAGTTTGAGACCAGCTTGGGCAACATGGTAGAACCCCATCTCTACTAAAAATACACAAATTAGCCAGGCACTGTGGCAACTGCCTGTAATCCCAGCTACTTGGGTGACTGAGGCACAAGAATTGCTGGAGCCTGGGAGGCAGAGGTTGCAGCGAGCCAAGGTCGCACCACTGCACTCCAGTCTGGGTGACAGAGTAACACTCTGTCTCAAAAAAACAAAAAAAAAAAGTTGGTATGGTTACATGTTTTTCTCTTGCAACTTTTTAGCTATATTAGTGATGGCATACACATGGAAAATTCTGTTAAATAGGATTAAAGTTTTGTCAGTTGTGTATTACTAATCAAGAAAGGGTTTAAGGAGTGAATAAATGATGAACCACCAAATCTAAGCTGATTAAGAAGGGATGCGAGAGAGGATGAGGGATGGAGGAAAGGTAACAAGATCAGTGGATCTGAGGAATTGTTGATATCTGAGTAGGATGTAGCTAGAGCAGCAGTATTTTTCAATAGGAGTGCTATTGGCATTTTTAGTGTAGAACTGTATTACAGAAGGTGTACCAGACATGGCCCCCATCCACCAAATGCCATCATTATTTTCCATTCAGAGTGATGACCAAAAAGAAACCTCCACGCATTACTAAATATCCTTGAAGGGGTGCAGCGTGTCGGACACTATTGTTTTCTTCTAGTAAGTACAACTATGACCATTGCACTAACTGGCTAAGGTAGAAAGAAGGTGAAAATCATTTGGGAAAAAAGCCATCAAGACCACAGTATTCAAAGATTAATAGCTATATGGATTATGAAATCACTAAATCATTAAGAATTTTGACAAATGTAATGTTAGAGAAAGCAACAGGGAGCCAGAGTCTGTGATCCAGGAATTGGTGACTACAACACTAATAGGAATAGTCGATAATAGAGTTAAATTACAATCAGAGATGAGTATTGTAAAAGGAGAGAAAATTGTCCAAAAATGGCAACATGGATCAAGGAAGAAGGTATCTGTTTTTCCCCCAGGCCCAGTGTCACAAAGGATAGAAAAGAACACAGTCACCACTTGAAAGGGCTAAAGGTAACCATGTCTCCAAAACAAAGCTAAGTTTCAATTAGAGAAAGGTGAAGAAAAAGTTGTGAAAATATAACTGATGGTCTAGCCTTTCAGTTTTATCTCCGTTAGACCTTCATGTAGTTTAGTTTTTCTTGGACTATGGGATTAATGTCCTGTACTTCCTTCCTTCTTTGCCTTTATTTTCTTCCTTGAGATTAGAATTTCTCCCTTCTCCCTTTCCTCCCATTTTCCAGTGACTTCTAAAACTCTTCCTATCTTTCCAGCTATAAGCAAATAGTTTTCATCTGTAAAACCCCTTAACTTCCTCTGTATCTTTCCTATATTTGTAATTTTCTATTTAGTGCTATATTTTATTTTAAATACAAATTTATTTAAAATATTTGTTTAAACTGTGGAGCTTCCTTGGGGTAGCAGGAATATCTGATTCATTTTTGTACCCCTGCGTCATCAAGTAGGGTCCTATGCGCAGTCAGCAGTCACTAAATATTTTAATTCATTACTTTCTTAAGTCTTGAGATGTACAATGCATGGATTAATTAGATTCTAGGAGTTTTTAGAGAAGCAGCCATCTTTGATTATCAGGCACACAAGGACTTTGAGACTGAGATGCTACTTAGGCCTCTCAGACTCTTCTTGCTTGTTTCTAAAATGGGATCTGTTTTAGAAATCTGTCTCACAGCATTGTTGTAAATACTAAGTTAAGTGTGTGGGGAGTGTGTGTACACATTCAGTTTTGTCTAGTGACTAGTGTGCCTATCGCAGGATGTTGCTGATATGGACACTCAGTTTTTAAATGATTTTCCCGCTCATTGTCAATTGTCACTAATTGCTGTTTTTGAGATATTTGTTGAACCTTTCTTCTTCAGTTTGATTTCACTATCACACTTTCAGAATTGCTCTTTCTATTAATAATAAGCCATGGGATAGGAAAACAAGTAAACCAGTTTATTATAATGTGTTACGAATAAAGCATTTAAACTTAGAAACATTGAATGTGGCATCTAGAGGTTTCTTGGCTTATTCCATGTTTTTTTAAGCTGTATTCTTCCTAGATGGGTTTGACAGATGAAATGACATGTTATTTTACTGTATGTTTAGAGTTAGATAGTTTAGATGGGGCAAGACAGTAACCAAGATAAGGTTAAAAGGGACAACTAGCGTGATGGTTAGTTAAAAGTTTTGACTCTGGCATCAGACCTTTTCTCAAATTTAGTTCAGTCACTCTAAGTTTTCTATCTACAAATTTGAAGTAATAATATCTCCATTCTTTTGTATGGATTATGTTAAATACTGGTTATATAAGACTTGGGCCAGTTTCTAGGCAATAATATATATTCAGTAAATATGAGCTGGTAAATATTAATGTCATTATTTTCACTGGAGCCAGGAAAGGAGGTTGCCAAGTGTGTCCTACAGACTCTGGCTGAGTGACAGATGAAAGAGGTATGCTGACACAGGTATTTTGCCTGACAGTGCAGCTGGGAGACCTCACGGCTCAGCACCACCAATGAGAGAGTGCAGCAGCCATCGAGAGAGTGCACCCCCCATAAGCCAGCCCTGGTCACATTTATTTAATACAGATTTAATGATAAAGGCTTGGAGCAAACACAATTTGTATGTAATAAACATTGTCAACCCCCCGAGTAGAGAGCAGTCCTGTGCGCAAGTGATCAAAGATTGGTTTCTGGAGACAGGAGTAAACAAATTTATCTAGATAAGTTCCTTTACATTCCCTTGTTATCTACCCTTTGCTCTCAGGCTCTGGATAAGAGAATCTGGCTGCCTTCAGCCATAATTCCCTTCTGAAGCTTTTGCAAAACCTCCTGACCTTCCAAAAAGGTTTGCATCTTTCCCAACTTTTCCCACCACCCTGACCGAATTCCTACATCTCCCCCTTTTCTGTTTTTTGCATCAAGTTTTGTTGATTGAAGAGTACAGATGTGTGCAGCAACAGGTTTGTCAGGCGCAGCAGTTATAACTCATATTCCAGCTTTGCATCCTAGAATTAGTAAGTAACATAAGACAAGCATGAATATAATTAGTAATATTCTTTTCCAATTAAGGAGTGACATGTAGTGTTACTTGGCAGTTCAGTCCAATGTGTGTCGTTACTAAGGAACCCCACTGGGGGTATGTTAATCCCCCCTAGCCAAGCAGTTACATTATTAGAGGCCGGGAAGGGGGTGTCTGCCCAGGTAACAGGGTGAAAGACGGATTTAGAAGATGGGCCTAATAGAGAGTAGCAGGTACAGATAGCAGGCAAAGTGAGAGAATAAGAAAAACCAATGTCCTACGAGAGTTGTAATGTACAACTGAAAGCATAGTAAGGAACACATTATCTGGAGTGAATAGTGTCTGTGTCCAGAACAGGATTCACTCAGCCTCCTGAATTGTCTTCGTCAGCATCCCCCAGGTAATGTCTGGGGCTTGTGTCATTCGAGAAAGCCGCATCCTCTGAGGCTGCTGGCCCTGCAGGGTCATTTCCTTCATTTCTGATACCAGGTTGGGTCCTAGCGACACCATAGTATGGTTTGATGTGTCATGCTGGAATCCATAGAGGACCTGAGGGGTTGTGAATACAAGCATATCCTCTTCCCCATGTTAAATCATTTGGACCACACCATACATTACTATTTACATCTTTCCATAAAACCATAGGTTTTATGTTTTGAAGGGCTTTAGTGAAATGCTTTTCTATGGCTGATTGAAATTTATCATCTACATTTTAAAAATTAAGGGTGAATAAGGCTTACACCAATAGTGTTGCAGGATCCTTACTTATATTCTCCCTTTTTTGTTTTTTGAGCTTATTTTTAAGGGTAGAGTGGACACATTCTACTATGGCCTGTCCTTGAGGGTTATAAGGGATACCTGTGGAATATTGGATGTTCCACGTGTGACAAAATTGTTGACCTTGTGAGCTGGCATAAGCCAGACCATTATCAGTTTTAATTTTTGTGGGCCACCCCATAAACACAAAAATTAAGAGAAAATGTTTAATAACATATTGGGAAGACTCTTCAGGAAAAGCATGTGTGCTAATTAGGTGAGAATTGGTATAAGTGGATACATGTGTATCTGAGTTTTCCAAATTCAAGGATGTGA